TGATCTGATCTGGCTTTGCTTTTCTCCATTTCACTGGCAGATTCCTACTTTATTTTGCTTTCCATAACCATAACTAGGCATTTCTGGGCCTGGGACAAGCAAGCATATTTGCGTCCCATACTGTTTTTTCGTCATTTTTCCTCCCCATTTTTCGCCCCCTTCCACCCCACCCCTCCGGCTTTGCATCCTGCGCAGCTGCCCCGCTCGCCCGCCCTGGTTACAGCCCTGTCACAATAATACACCTCGTTCATCCTGGCTGTTTTCCTCTGATGCTGACAGCCATTCTGACATGCTCATGGCCCAAGCACTCCAATAAAGGACCAGATCACCATGCTCCGTGAAAACATCACCAGCACTGACCAAAGGGCAAATTGTCTCTTCTGCCTGCATGCTTGAGGGGATAAAAAAATTGCGCTGAGCAGAGAGATAGTAACAGAAGCAGCATCCCTCACAGGAACAAACCACCCTTCGGAGAATGGGATCACAGATGAGAAGGACATAGGGCTTGGAGGATAGTAATGCTTCAGACACCGTACACCCATGGTTCTCTGATGGTGGTCAGTCTGTGTTAACTTCACTTGGTTCTTCGCCTGTGTTGTGGAAGCTTATCAAAGGGTGTGGGACTAGCAGTCAAGAAATTTACTCAGAAAGAGGCAAAAAGCCTCCATGCACGTGGTCCTTGACTCATGCTTGGGAATGTTTACTAGTTCTGGGGGACATACCCCCTTATTATGCCACACAAGGGACTCTGTCCCCCTGAGAGAACAACTCACAGATCATTAAATCTATTTTCCTGCCCTCAGCATGGGAGTAGCCAGCGAAGAGGACAGTAAATCCCTAAATTAAGACAAAGGCAAGCCAGCCACGTGACTGGGAGGCATTTATGTATCCAAAATCTCTACAGGTCAATGTAGACCCTGTAAATTCTCTTATGTAAGTGCAGTTGCGAGTTACACATGCCTATTGAGAGAATTTATATTTTCCACCCCCCCCCAGCAGAACTATTAAATATGATAACAGCATTACAACTGGTTTCATTAATAATCTCTTGAGGAAGGTGTAAATTCAACTCTAACCAAATTTGTTGATCACCTTTAGAATAGAAAACATACATGCAGACAGACTCAAACTGTAAATTGACCAGGAGAGGTTAAGAGAGTGCAGTATGCTGAACAAAATGATTTTCAAATAAATGTAAAGTCCTGCCCCTAGAGTGAGAAAGTAAACAGCACACCAACAAACTAGAGAAAACCTATCTGGAAAGCCATCTTAGAGGGACCCGAGGGTGATGATAGATAGCAATTTAAATAGGAACAAAACAAAAAAAAGCCATTGCTGTTCACAGAACTCTGTACGTTATACAGGGGATCACATGAAATATGTCAAAGTGATAATGTCATTCTACATAGCACTGGTGTGAGTGTCCTTGGAATATTAAGCACAGTCTGGCACAGTTTAGGATAGATAGGAAGAAAATATGTTGGAGAACAAAAATTACATAAGGGTTGGAGGTAAGATGACCAGGTAGCAAGTATGAAAAATGGGGATGGGTGGGAGGTAATAGGAGCCCATATTAAAAAAGCCCCAAATAGCCGGACTGTCCCTATAAAATCAGGACATCTGGTCACCCTACTTGGAGGACAAAACACGCAGAGAGACTGAGTTAAGCTTAAATACTGTAGTTTATAAATAATTATTTATTATTAAATAATTCAGTAAGTAAGCTCAAGAAGGAAATGGTAGCCTATACATGGCTTCAGAATAACAACATAAATGAAGAAAGGGGATTTTTCACAATGTTAGGAGGCAATGAGTTGAAGCTGAAGAAGGAAACATTTAGGTCCAGTGTACACTAGAAAAAGGGTTTGATGCTATAGTTATATCTGTACAGCTATAAATCTATAGAGCTATAGCTACACTGGCACACCCTCCTAGTTTAGGCAAAGCTTTGGCCAATATAATTTATACCAGTTCTCTGACTGAAATAAACTGTGCCAGCAAAAGTTGATAATGGAAACCTAGCCTTAGATTAGGGGAAAAGCTGTTAACATCAAGTAAAACTGGGCATTTCAGTAGACTAGCCGGGAGACGGTAATGATTTGTAGTCAAGCACAAGTAAAAGAAGATGTTTGTGGGATTGAGGTAGCAAATAATTCTGCAAAGTGCAGGAGGTTCAGGCTAGATGATCTAAGTGGTCTCCTTGGTATCTATGATTCTATGCACTCTACTGTTCGTTAAAGTAATACCACGGTGGGCAAATATCAGTCTTGGATTACTTTTGGGGGGAAACTGTGTCTGTAAGCTGAAGGAGAGCTGTACAGAAGACAAATTAAAGTATATCCCACAAGATCAATAAATCACTGATAGTCAGCCTAAAATCCACTTTAACCTATGTCTATATTCTGCGTCAAGCCTTTTTTTTTCATGTCTAGTCTTTTAACAAAATCATCTGTTCTTAGCAAGTCATCCATGCATGATTACTATCAAATTCAACCATTAGTCACCCCAAATTAAATGATTTTCCATCTAATGCTCCATGCCACTAACAACATTTTTCAAAGTGATAGATTGTTGTACTGATAAGCTACTAAATGGAGTATATAACAAACGCATTCAGTTCCAGTGAATTAAAAAAAAATCCTTGTAGCTACAGAGATGAGTTAGTTCATGGCTGTACAGTACTTTTAAAAATGTTAAGTGCTACTGAGTGTTATTGCAGTTATTAGAATGGTCTAAGCAGGTTCCCGACCTAAATTGTTTGGGCTACATTTTTAATTTAATACCTATGAACTTTCCATGCAATGATTAATGGCAAGAGGTAACTCATATTGTTCTCAGATGGCCATTTATTTTTAAAAGTTTTAAGAGTGTAGCCACTTTTACCCGTGGTGAGTTTGCCTTACTAACCTTGTCCTGCTGGGGTAAAATTTGATCATTCATTTAAAACTGGGATTTTTCCACACCAGACAGTTAGAGAGCTTTCATTAGATCTGGGGACAAATGTTCCTACACTATGCCCATCACTTGTTTTGCAGTATTCAAAGATAAAGCACAGTTCAAAGGCAGGCTACAATTCAGCATTACTCCATGTTATTCAGAGCTTGAATAGTGTTCAGATTAAATGTGTTCAAATTAAAGCATTCATGGTTTCATTCTGGCTGGTTGTACCTCACAAAACAAAGCAACACTATTTACGTGGGTTCAAAAGAAAAAAACATGGGCAAAGATTTGATATCTTGTCCTCTAAAGTCTGCCAATTTGCCTGGAGTTCTCTTCCCTTCAGCCACCTCCCCAAATCCAGGTTCCCTGATTCTCAGTCTCCCTTCTCCTTATAATTCCTTGTGTCCTTTCCCCACTTCCCGTCTGTGGTTCACCCTCATAAACTGTGTCCTCCCCTCACTTTCCTCCTTGTAGTTCTTCCTGTTCTCTTTTTTCCTGTAGTTATCACCATTTTGTAAAATAGAGTCCACTGGGAAACTTCTGTGAGAGTTTTCGTACAGAGCTATAGAAACAGTAGCCAAAATGGCACATCTTGAGGTGATTATGTAGTGGGTAAAAAACTTAATTAGTCCCCTTTCAAGTACACTTCCATGTGCCACCATGGCACTGTATATTTCTGTAACTTAGTTCTGTTGCACTTGGTAGTTTTTCTCTGGTGATAAAGAGCCTTGTATCTCTGAGATTTTTAGCCTATTTTTAAAGGGATTCTGTTGACTCTTTAAATACCTGTCATATATGGCCTTATTCTGTTTACCATTACTCTCACTGAGCAATACTTACTCCATGAGTAGTCCAGTTATCTCCAGTGGAACTACTCCTGAGCTAAGGTACTGCTCAGCATGAATAAAGGTGGCAGAATCTGACCCACATTTACTAATTCCCTGTTGTATTAAAAATAAAAAGTATTTTGTGTCTCTTTTTTGAAAGAAGCCAAATACTGTATGTGGAAACAAATATAATTCCATTTGTTTATAAAGAAGCACAGACATACATTTCAAATAGTCTAAGAACAACAAAAGTTCTCATGAAGATCTTGTAGGGGTGCCTCTGTATACTTTATATTTTATTTTATTTATCATAGAATTGTTCCAAATGAAAATGAGAAATATGGAGTGCTACTGAACTCACTAAGGGCCAGCGCAAAACTGTTTAGTTCAGATGTCTCTGCAATGATGATGAAGAGTGTGCAAGAAAAGTCACTGTGTTCAGTTGACCTCAACTTGCATTTTCAAATGTGTGGTGAGGCAGTTTAGTATACTCTGTTCTGTAACATAAAATAGCAAGCAACACTAGCTAACTCAATACCTACTAAAAGCTTTTGCAAGAGGAGGGATGCTAATAATTTTTAATCCGTAATATATTCCTGCCAAATGTGCTAGAAGCTTTAAAGGGAGAGATTCATGCAGGTAAGCATTTATCCATTAAAGAGGGATAAGCTAACAATGGAGATTCTCTTTCATACATACAAATATCTCACCTTTATACAACATGCACATTTTGACTCCAGGCCACTTCTGCTCTCAATTGTCCATTTAATCTTTTCCCCAAAGTTTATTTAATTGTTTTCCATATGGTCTATAGTACATACATATTAGCATTATAATTTTGTGCAATATGGTACTTCTGTGATTTGGGGGGGGGGGTCTCTTGTTTATATGTAACATTGCTTACACAATTTTAAAAAATAGCTGCTATTTCTCTCTGCTTCTCTCTGCGACATTAAATTAGTTGAGAACAAAGTAATTCATTATTTGAAAAACATTTTTATTCATGTTCCTGCTTCATTTAGTTTTTCTCAACTTACACAGTAACGTTGTTTAGTCCTTAAGACATTGATAATCACATTGCAAGAGAAAATTAGAACTAAGTGACAGTGCTTTAAAATGTACTATGTAAATCTTTTCTTTTGATGATTGTAAAACTAAACTACTTCACGTGACTTTTTTCTGTATGTCTTCAGTTTCTGTCATAAGTACTTAGTCTGTTCTTGCTTTCCACAGATGCCAGTGTATTACTACCCATCTGGTCAATACCCTACCTCAGCAACTCAGCAGTATAGACCCATTGCCTCAGTTCAGTACAATGCACAGCGGAGTCAACAAATACCCCAGACTGCACAGCAAGCAGGTATTTGCATCTGTTACTCATTTCTTCAGCAGTTCGTGTTGCATTTACTGATGAACCTATTGATCGTACTTTAATTTTGGGCTTGAAAAGCTAGCATTGAAAATTGGCCATTTCAGTAAGTTGAAACAGTCAAAAAACAATTTTGCTTGGAAAGCCGTACCGTACAAGAAAGGAAAGCACACTTCAGTGCTGTCATCTAGTATGCGTCACACAGCGTGGTTCTTACTGCATTAATATGTTACATTTTGGATAAGAAGTAAGACAAGTAGCAAATTACTGTGATCATTCATACTTCATTGGAAAGCCAAGAGTGACATTTTAATTCCTTAATCATATGTGGCCCCTAAACGTTTTTAAAACAAGAAACCAGTAATGGAAACATTTAGGGGGCATTCTGCTCTGCAAAGCTGAAACTGTATCTGTGATATGGAGCGAGCCAGATAAAAGGCAGTCTTTAGCTTGGTAATAGTCCACTATTTTCCTCCTTTCGAGGTTAGTGTTCATGAAAACAGCAGACAATGAGGTGCTCTAGAGTCTGTGTGGCACCCACTTGGATGTTAGCTACCTGCAGCGATGGGCAGTTGGAAGGGGGGCCGTTACACTGTAAGAGAGTGAGTAGCAGGTCTCACAGTGAACCGGTCTCTTTTCCTACTGTGTCATGCCACTCCTAATTAAACCATATTAAGGATGGGGGGAGACAGAGTGAGACTGATGTTGTTTGATTTTATTTGTGCTGGTGCAAGGTTCTTTGAGTTCCTAATGAATAAACAAAGCTTCTGTAAAAATCATTGATTGTCTGTTTTTGCAGTGCAAACCTCCCCCATACTGTGTCTCAGACAAGTATTAACTTTGGTCGGAGGGATTGTTTCACCACAGGGTACACAATCATAATTGTGTCATGTAGGATAAAGCTTGCTGTCTGTCTATTACTCTCTAGCTCCAGAAATGCAAATGGTTTGATAGAAATTCCTGTGAATTTTGTGGTGGTTTGGTTTTTGTTGTTGTTGTGTTGTTTTTTTTTTTTAATGGAAAATCAGCTTCTCTGCCAAGGCTTTGATCCACAAGTCCTTTAAGATAAAAGTCAATAGCATAGAGATGAGAGATGGGAAAGATCTATGGGGTCATCCAGCCCACTCCCAGTCTCTTTAGGGTGACCGCTGACAGGTTTCTCACACTTTATTAGGCTTCAGAGAAAAAAAGCCATAGCAATACACAGTTATGATTGATTTGAATGATCAATGGTTCTTCTTTTAAAGCTGTCCTGTGTTCTAATAAAACAGGTGCTGGTTTTGGTCATTATGACTGGTGGGGTGCTTACTTTCAGATTTCATAGCTTTGGGAGACTACAATTCTCAGAGAGATGTAATATTCCATAAAGGCCATCTATCTCTTCTAATATATCTTATCTTACAGTATGGTACCATATTTATTATCCATATACAGTAGATTTTTGAACCTAAATGCAGATTGAATTGTATGATACTATTTTGGTTGACTGTGTTGTTATAAAACCATATTTACTCTATCAGTTAAACGGTAGATCAGTAATGTGAAAATTATGGTAATTAAAGTACACATGGGACACATTCTGAAATGCTTCAGCAAATTTTTCACAGAAAAGTCAACTGTTTGATCTTCAGAGAGACTATCTGAATACCAGGTTTAATTATATACCATAGTGTAGTAACCATTGTGTTTGGGTACAGACTTCATAGGGAAATCAGTTGTATTTTTGCTCATGTGTTTTTCATATCGTTTTTCACCTATGTGTCTGCCAAGGAATTTGGTTATTACAAGAAAAATCTCTTGAGCTGGAAAAATTGTCAATATCTTTAAAATTCCTCCTTTCAATTATTGACAGCTTCATTGGAAAAATAATTATTATATCATGTCCACATTCTGTGATGAGAGTTTAGTATTTCTTTAATGATTGTTTTAAATTTTTACCAATTGCCCAGGTCCTAAGACTTGCTTCATAATCAACTCTTTTGAATGGGTCCTAACTATGGGCCAGATTGAACCCTCTCATAGAGATATTTGCATGAGGGGAATAGGGGTGCCAGGAAACTCCACAAAGAAAATCTTGCAGTTTCCTACAGACCTTCTCTTTAAGTGAGAGTGATTAGGGAACAAGGCATGGGTGGCAACCTCCCAATCTTGCTGACCCTTCAGATTCACAGGGAGGGGAACCCAAAGTCCCATGCACAGGGTCAGCCCCTACAGGCTGCTGCTGAGACACCATCACTCCTGTTGGAGTTGTGCTCTATTGGGAATGAATCCTGGGCCATCACAACAACTGCTACATGAAGAAGAATTTACTGAAGGACAGATACCCAAAAGGTTTTCCTCTGCCTTTGTAAGAGAGAGTTCCACAGAGAGCGCCTCCTACAGCCCCTTATGCAGCCAGAACCTAAAGAGACTGAGCTCACAGAGGGACTTCAGTGGGGTGAGGTAGAGAGGAGGATGCTGTGAAGTCAGTGCTCTCTTACCCCCACCTTCCAGAACTCCAGGGTGATCCATCTTACCTGCTTCCTCTCTGCTTGAAGAAGCAGGGAGGACTCTTGGGTCCTATCATTTTTTTCCTTGATTTTTGTAACTGAACTGACTCATGCCCTCAAATTTTCACTCGTATTTATAAAGGTAAATCTAATTATCTGCAGTGATGCATTTTCTTCCATTACCTGAAGCAATATGGATATCCATCTTGCTATCGACTTATGCTTTGAAATGTCTGAAAATGCCTCTGAGAAAGTAAGTATGGAGAGACAGAAACTTTTCTTGGGCATTAACTATATATTTAGATTATATTTTCTTTATACTTGCAGCCAGTGAATAAATGGGTAAGGATTGATTATTCTATTTTTTCATGTTCTTTCACTTCACATAGCATTTGGAAAGTCACTAATCTTCCAGAGTTTGATTGATGGATATAAATTATATTTCATGAAATATAATAAAGCACAGTGCTTATGTTACAAATTTACTGCAGGCTATTCACTAGACATTCAAACTCTCAGGGGAAAAAACTCCTTTGGATGTCCATTCAGCTACTGCAGGAACATACACATGACCACTTAACACCAAGTACCCTTCTGAGCTATGCTACTTTGGGTTGGCTAAGTACGTGTTCCAATCAAAAGGCAAATATTTCAAGCTTTATGCAGTGTTGCAGGAAATTACCTTCAAATATAGAATTAAGGACCAAGATTGAGGTTAGCATTTGAGCAGAATGTGAGGCAGCCATGGCTCAGTATGGAAATTTTAAAAGAGACCTACAGATAGTAATGATGGCTGCAGAGAGTGCAGAAGAAGACTGTGTGAGGGTGAACAAAGGAGGCAGACATGAATGAGGCAGATGAAAAGATTACTCCTGAAACATCTTCCCTGAAGATTTAGCACTATTTGCTGCTGGTGAGAGAAAACTGCTGCAATAAAGAGAGGCATATGGGAGTCCGAGTTGTGTGCCTACCAGTAGAATAACGAATGTGACCAGGGATATGTTGGGAGCCTCAAGCTCAAAGAATGTTTATTAAAATAAGAAAGTTTGCCTGCCCAGGAGGGTTTTGGAAGCTTTCATAGCTCCGGCAAGGTGTTGAGGTCTGTTGTTTTCCCACTTTGGGCTGCAGAGGGTAAGGTTTGATCTAATTCCAGCAATTTGTTTTTGTTTTTCTTAGAAAAGGTCTCTTTATGAGTGGAGCAATAATAATGACTTTTTTACAGCAAATGGCTAAAGTAAAATGTCAGTACAGCATCCTTAATGGTTAAGGGACTCTGTATTCACTGATGGTTGTGTGAAAAGAGAGCAATATGAAGTTAAAATGCTCCAGGGCAGAAAAAAAGATGAGCTCACCTGAAATTAGATTAGGATCTAACAGCAGTAAATCATTTGGCGAGAGGGGTGAGAACTCTTGATGGATGGATAGATAGATAGATAGATTTTAGAGTGCTGCCTAGTATGAGAAGATAAGTGACTCATTTCTTGCAAAAGGCAGCTTCACAGAGGGTTTTCCAAAGAAACCTTTTGTCGTTTACAGTATATTAATTTAAATTCAGAATGAAACTACAAAGACACAGCCTTAACACTGTTGCTTACTACAGAGCAGTGGTGTAGCCTTTGAAATGCTTAATTTTGCTTCATGTAAATAAATAATTTGTTCTTCTTCTTCATTGCATTCCCGCTGCACCAGCTCTTGGGCCCAGTCCTGCAAAATGCAAAGATCCTAGAAGTCAATGGAAGTGTTGCCATTAATTTAATGAGAGCAGGGTCAAGCCATTGGCTAGTACACAGTACATGCACGGTACATTTTTAAATGGATCGTTAGAATATTTTCAAATGACTTTACTCAACAAATAATAATTATATGTAGGAGTACTCTCTTGATATGTTCATCTTTGAGCTTTATAGTAAAGAACATTGCCTTCCTTTTCTTTGAAAATCAAGATATAAAATCTGTACAGGTCTGGGCTCAAGTGAACGTTGTAAGGGTCTGTGTTGTGACAAGGAATTCCTGTAATTTGTAGACTTTCCCAAATATATCACTGTATTCCTTAAACTGTGGAGTTTAGTTTCTCTCTGGTCAATGGACATTTACCACTCTTTGATTTTGTCTCATCTCGCTAATATTTCAATATAAAAAATACTGGCCATTTCAAGCAAATAGATATATCTCTTTTTGTACCATGGAACACCTGGTTTCTTGACTGAGTGAAATATTTCTCTATTCTCATATAGCAGTATTATAGTGTTGTATCTCAGCCATTATCAGCAAGAGTCGTATTCGCTGACATCGGTATCTCGGTAGTAGTAGTTTGAAAGCTTTTAAGCCTCGTTCTTGTCCTTGAATGATAAAATGGAAATGTATTCAGTGATGAACATTTGTTTTTTACCACAGTTGATGAAATCAGCAATGGAATGATTTATATCAGTGTGTTGGTGTATTTATTTTCAAAATGATAATGCTTAGCACAGAGAGTATATTTCGTTTTTAAAGTGCTTCACA